TGGCATTATTCATCATGGTCGATCCTGTCTCGCTATGATGAAGAAGTCATAGCTCACTATGGATGCAACACTTGGGGACTCCAACGATCTCTCCACTTCTACATCTCGTCTTTCCTTACCAAGAAGTTTGAAACACAAAGAAACAACTACAAAGTATGGTCTTACAGTACTGATGTTGGAATGATTTTGATCAGTGAAAACTGTATCTGCGTGAAGAACCGATCCTTGTACGTAGCTAATCCAGTTTCACAGGAATGCGTAGAGATCCCTTCTCATGGTTATCTCAAGAAAGTCTCATGTCCCTTGGGAATTGCCACACGAACTGAGAATGGCGTTCTTTTGGATTACAAAGTTGTTTTGTTTAATGGAAGCGATACGTTTAGAAGGTTGCTGATATATTCATCCCAGACTGGCATGTGGAGTATCAACACTGTCGATTTGACTGTGTCAGGTTTTCATAACCAGTCTCCCATTAGCTTGCACGGGAGTATTCACTGGATCGCCAGCACTAGTCACAGTGAAGATGTTGCTGTATCCTTCGATTTATACGCCACTGGTACGAGCTCTGTTCAATGCCGTGTGACTACTTTCCCTGATTTCGGAAAACATCCCAAATTCACTAGATCGTTCTCCACTTGTCAAGGATCTCTCATGTATATGAATATAATCTCTATAACCAAAGTTGATGGAAGTCTAGAGATAATATCTGCAAGACTTTATTGGTTTCTCAAGTATTTATTTTATTTTGCATTACGACTCTTAGTTCTTTTGTATGAAGGTGTTTCAATTATTTCGAGTATTTTGGTTTGGTCTCAATAAGAGAGAAAAATGGAAGAAAATTGTTACCACAATGTCAGCCGACTCCATTATCATAGAAGTGAAGAAAATACATAAACAGAAAAATAACGTAGCAGTGTTGTTAACCTTGAAACCTTTAGAGACATGTATCTGTGCTCACTCTCTCTCACTCACTCGTTTGTACTTAATTACTTGCATGCAAAGAAAACAAAACGACACAATCGGGTTTATTTTTCAAGAGGCACAAGTAGCTAGGTGATGTAGATAACAAGTTTCAGTAATATAAAAGTTTTATATCATTCTTGTCTAAGAATGATCGCTTACTTTGGTTCTTCCCTCTCTTACTCCTCTGTGAAATCAATATTTTAACTAGGTTTGCATAGGATAACAATTCCAATTGGTTGGATCTACATAAGTAGAAGGGCTCGATCGATACCAATTGGTTGGACTTAATGGCAAAAATCTATTTTCACGTCAATTCTCGTCCAAATATCTCAGATAGGATAATGAGTTTTATGATTATCCCAAAGGAAAAGTATATATTGATTTGATCTTATATTCTCCTTCCGAGCGTTAAAATTTTCATATTTCAAGATTAAATTTCGTACGCTTGGTTTAGGTAATTTTGTTTGGTCGAAAGAAAAAAAAAAGGTGATTTTATTTGGTCATTTAATTTGTGAAAAGATGAATAAAGCACAAGTTTTTTTCAAACTTTATTTCACGAATATACGGGATAGAGGTACATATCAACCAATCCTCTCGGATGGTGAACGTTACAAAACATATAATATTTTAAAAAGGTACAATGGGATGATTAAAACATACTAAAATATGGATTTTGAACAACAAACATCGTTAAACAAAAGATTAACGGTTGATCTTTTGCAGAACTTGAAGTCTGGCCTTTGCAATCAACTTGCTATGATCTTCCACACTTTCACCAACCTCCGTGATTTTCTTTGTTAATTTCTCTACTTTCTTACTGATCTGAGTTAGGACAATTCTCGTGGCCGCCTCATTATCTTCATGGTCAATAGCATTATCTACAAGTTTCAACATATTTTTGATACGGTCTTCTAGCCCGTCGACTAAAATCGATACGGTCTCCGTCGCTTCTTCGTTTGTTTTTATACCTTTCTCCACCGATTCTTCTATCTCTTCCACTTTCTTCAGACCTTCCAACTGTTTGTTCAGAGCATCCTTCTTTTTATCCAAGGTAGTGTAGACTCCAGCCCATCCTGCCGCAAGCAGTGGTGCGGCTAGAGCCCCAAAGCCGGCAGCCGCACCCACGCCTGTTGCAATTAGAGCTATTGATGCGACGGCAACAATAGCAAACGCAGCGCCGAAAACCACGTTTGTAATTAATGTTTTTTTCTCTAGATTAGTGATTTCATCCTGAATCTTTTTTTTAGTCTCACTCACTTCCTCCAGAAGGGATTCTTGCTGCTTTTTGATCAGCTCGAACTGAGTTGTGAGAACTTTGCCGTCAAAGGGATCTCCCATCTCTTTAAAACTCTTGAGGTCCTCCAATGTTTTTTCATACTTCTTCTTTTTCCCACCAACATCTTTTTCTGCCGACTCTTTCTCAAACTCGGCCAAGGCCTCTCGAATGAGAAGTTGGCCCATTTCTGCGTTCTCGACGCAGTTCTCTATAGTTTTGAAAATCTCTAAAGTCTTTTTAGTATTTTCAAAATAGGCCAGGACCAAATACTTTAGAGCTTGGTTGTCCCACACATCGTCTTCGATTTCGGTAATGAAGTCTGCCACACCTTGGGTAACTTCAACTAGGTGCTTGGAGAGCTCCATGTGTGCGTCGTGTGGGGAGGACGAACCATTCTTGTCTTCAACGGTGAGTGAGTCTATCATTTTGTTGGTTCGCTGCTGAAGGGAAGCATCAAAGGATTTGAGTTTTGGGTGTTCTTCACAAGCAGATTTGTAAGCACTCATCATGTCTTCCGAGCATTTCGACATCAAATCTTTGGATAAGGCCATCGATGATATTGCTGAAAGGAAAAATAATCAAGATAAGTTAGAGAGATTTAGGACAGTTTTTGCGTAACATCCACAAAGTACTTATATAGGTTTTTTCTTCTGTTTATAAAAAGTGATTTTTTTTAGTTGTCTTAGTGAATTTATATTACTTTTTTTTGTGCAAAATGATTTTTTATTAGTTAATCTTAATAAATTGTTAATTTCAATGAGCAACAATTTTGAAAGTAATTGGATCTGTCGACATTATATTCCTAGATTTTGTAGAATGGTTTTAAGAAAATATATTATCCTTGATAATGAAACATAGTTTTGTACGAATATTTCTATATTAATTTTAATATACATACATCATTCTCGATAATAATATTTATTTTATTTTCAAAACAATAATGTATTTGAATTTTACATAGAAAAAATACAGTTACCTGTAAAAATCATGAGGAAAAAGAAAATTATGATAATAAAAATAATATACGTACAACACAAAACATAATAAATTGATCATTAAACTACGAATAAAAAGAGAGTTGAAGAGAGAAAAACTTTACCAGAAATTGAATCAGAATCTTGCTCAATACTCTCACCAATATATATAATAGGTATGAAGTTTTGAATGATTTCTTGGGTTTGTGATTTACAAGTATTTATAGGAGAAACCTGTGTTGGCGAGCTCAAGTTGAGTGATGAGGATTTAAGATAGAATGAAAGAAATGTCGATAACGATTTTTTGTTTTATGTGGGTTATTGTGATATAAAGATGTGGTTTTTATTTTTATTTTTATTTTTTTTATTTGAGTAATATTAAATGGGAAAAGAGAGAAATGAGACAAGGATTTTGGGTCTATAAGAAGAAAACAGATGGCACTTTCTAGAGAAGAAAAAGAATTTTGATGTGGTTGTGTAATCAGTGTGGCTCGTGTTTTGGTTTCTTGAAGCAAAAATAATCTTGTTATTTAGTCTTAAAAACCAAGGATAATACTTTATAGTCTCGTTTTTATTTTGCCCAAAGAAATGTCTTGTTTATATTTGATTTGTCTGAGTTTGAGATGTGCAGAATGGTATTAGTTTAAAATTATTATTTTCGTTAGATGGTAACTGGAAATTAAGTTTGGAAGAGGAGTGGAGTGGCGTTGCCGGTGAAGTGATAAAATTATCAAGGCATGGGAGAATCTAACTGGAGCAATGGGGATTACGTGTTTAAGGGATTAGATGTTTAAGGTCCTAAGTTGAAGGAGTGGATTATTGACACGTCGTATATGAATAATTATTGGGTTCACAATCTTATTCATCCTTTTAATTGACTAATTAAAATATAATAATATACCATGTCTTATTATCTTTAAAAATAAATTAAAATTATAATCATAAAACAAAACAAATTAAGAAAACAAAATATCTACTAACCAAACCAACATATAACTCAATTTTAATTGTAAAATCTAAATCAAACCCACTTTTTTATAAACCCAACTAATATATAATTTTGTTTAATTATAATATCTAACCATAACCTCGTTGTTATAAATCCCAATCGATACATAATTTTGTTTAATTGTAAAATTCTAAACCCTAAACCCTAAACCTTAAACCATAAATCCAAATTGACATCTAATTTGCATAAGTGTAAAATCTAAACCCTAATATTTATTTTATCAAATGCAAATCAACACAATTAACCTTAAAATATACATATTTTGTTTCTTTAATTTGTTTTATATATAGGAGAAATCTGTGTTGGCGAGCTCAAGTTGAGTGATGACAAGGATTTAAGATAGAAAAGAAATGTCGATAATGATTTTTTGTTTTAAGTGAGTTTTTATGTGATGATATAAAGATAGGAAAAAAACCCGAAAAAACAGCCATTTATTTTTTTTATGGCCGTTTAATACGTGTAGTATTAAATTTGGAACAAAAATACCTCATTTGTTTTTGGTTACGTTTTAAAATCTTCGTTTATTAAATATTGGTAGATTCATACCTCCGTGTTAACGGCTGTTGACGATGGTAACAGAATTGCTAACTACAGTTAAAATTTAACCCATTCTATTTATGTATATATATATACAGTCTATTTTCTAAACTGTAATAGATAGTTTTCGTAGTCTGGTGGTTTTGCACGTGTTTCAAACCCTAACAAACCTAAGTTCGATCCAACATAAATGTCTTTTTTTTTTCTTTTTTTTTTTTAACTCCATCTTCTTCTCTAGATCTGCAGATCTTAGCGTTTTTTGTTTACTGTCTGCAACTCCTATTTCAGAGATTTTAATATCGATAACGCGGTATTTCAATTGACATCATCGTTCTGATTCTAACCATCAATCAAAACTAAAACAAATGATTGAAAATTGGATCTCAGATTTTTCATGGTTTATCTTTAAATCACTATAGGAGATTTGCATAAAGCAAAATCGATCCAATTCTAACACGAAGCAAAATCGAGCATTGAATCACATAGAAAGCACAAAAAAGAGCATCTCAAAAATCTGAAACTCCATTTATTTTTTAACCAGCGTAATCAAGACGAAGCACAAAAAAAAAAAATATGAACAAGAGCATGGATCGAACTCGGGAGTAGGTGTGCCCAAGTTCTGTGCATAACCGCCAGACTACGACGATTTTCGTATAAGTTAACTAAAATAAACAATATATATATATATAATTACTATGGGTGAAGTTTTACCTCTGGTTAGCAATTCCGTTACCATCGTTAACAGCCGTTAGTACGGAAGTATGAATTTACCAATATTTAATAAACAAAGATTTTAAAAGGTAACTAAAAATAAATGAGGTATTTTTGTTCCAAATTTAATACTATACGTATTAAACGGCCAAAGAAAAAATAGATGGCGGTTTTTTCGGGTTTTTTCCCGTGGTTTTAATTTTATTTTTTTGAGTAGTATTAAATGGGGAAAGAGAGAAATGAGACAAGGATTTTGGGTCTATATGAAAAAAACAGATGCCACTTTCTAGAGAAGAGAAAGAGTTTTGATGTGATTTGATGTGGTTGACTGGTTGTGTTTTGGTTTCTTGAAGTAAAAATACTCTGCGATATTGTTGTACATATGTTATTTAGTCTGCATGTTAAGAATCTTAAGATAATTGTTGAGGATGACCAAACATTTGTAGCTTTAAAAACCATGTAAAATACTTTATATATAGTCTTCTTTTTTTTTGGCTTAGTTTGAGATTTGCATATGTAATGGTAATAATTTTAAATTATTTAATTTGTTAAATTGTAACTGGAAGTTAAGTTTGGGAGAGGACTGGAGTGGCGTTGCCGGTAAAGTGATAAAGATATTAACGCATGGGAGGATCTAACTCGAGCAATGGAGATTGCGTGTTTAAGGAATTATATGTTTAAGGTCCACAGATTCGAATTTTTATAGTCTTTAAAAAATCGGTTAGTATATACTATTTATATACAACTAAAAAAGAAAGCAACCAAGTAAAGGAGTTGTCAATTAACAAAGTCTTAATATTATTTCTTGTACTTCGATGTTTTTTAATAATACCCGTTCTAATACGTTTTTTGTTTAAATAAATTTAACTATTGTAGATGAAATATACTCTTCTAGTAATCTATAAGCAAAATATTGGAATACCTAATGGAGGTAGTTAGACATATTTATCTGCACACAAAAAATGTGAGTTAGGTATATATGCATATGATGAGTACCAACGTTTCTTTTGGGTTTTGGGTTTTTATGTTTGGTGTAAAGAATTCTTTATCGCAAAAAAAATTCCTTTCCACCAAAAATATTTATTGTGAAGTTTTTTTTTATGATGATATACTAGGTAGTGATATTGGTATAAAAATGTTTTGCATGTACATACGTGTCTTGAGATTTCACGTCGGTATAAATTGGACCAGATAAGGTTTCTCGAATTATCGACCAGAAAATATTTGTTCAACATTTGGTTATTCAAATAAAATACATATTGTATAAGTTGTACCTAATTTAGCATAAAGACGAATTATCGACAAGCACAGTAGACAGTAGCTTTAGCCTTTAGCAATCAAACAACAAGAAATGGACCCAAACGCTCTATACCACAACATATTTGTAGACGAGGGCTGTAAAAATATGAAATACCAAATTTACCTTGTTTTTGTTATTTTAAGTAACTTTATTGTTTGTTTCTTCTACTTTTTTAAACGTTACATATTACATGTTACAATCGTGTAGGTAATATATTGTTTGATTTGTCAAAAAAAAGTATCTATTGTCTCTTGTAAATAATTAGGTTTTAGGAATGGTTTCTCCCTCTTAATATTCAATTGTACAAGATACAACATATATATAGGGATACAACATTATGGTTTATGTTAGTGATATACCTTGATTTTCACCACTTTAAGCTATGAATTAGGTATTAGTTTTAGAGTTTTTTTATTATTTCTAAAATATTTTTATTATTTTAAAAATCTTCTTATCATGTATTTTTATGATCGGAACTAGATTAGAGATAAGAAAACATTTTGAAGCAAAACTGCGAAGTTAAGCTAAAGAAACGAATTTTGAGTCATACGATCGTTTCAGTGTCAACCGACACTAAGAGAGTGTTAAATGAAAACGGACTCGTTTTAAGTTACAAAGTTTTTTTTATTCATCTAAGACAGACTTGTGGAGCTCCAACATTCTCCAAAACGCTATCCCATTGCGCAGTGTTGAATGGTGCAATCCCGTTAGCTTGAACGGAAACCTTAACTGGTTTGGCTACATCTTAGACAGTGAAGAAATGTTGTGTCCTATGATTTCTACGCTACTGAAACGGAATCTGATAGTACAGAGTTATTCTTTTCCCTGATGTATGAAAAGATGTGAAAATCAAGAGACTTTGCACAACTTCTAAGGGATCACGTATGTATATGAACATTTTCCTAGAACCCAAAGACGATAGTGGTCTAGAGGATAAGTTATTTGTATGGAAGCTAAGGAGTGGAGAATGGCAACTAGTATCTGAAATCTCGTTGGATTCTACAAATCCCCGTTCCAAATATTTTCCGTTGGCTATAAATGTTTTGTATGTACTAACTTGCACAAAGGCATATTTGAGCTTTACAACAACTTGGAACATATAGCAGTGATGGTCGCATTGTTAGCATTGCTGGAGAATGGCAGCATATCACATACCTCCCGTTTGTTCTTCCGCGTTGGCTGCATCGGATCTCGACGTCATGAGCACAGTTAGAGGACTTTCCCTTGTTTCTTATTTATTGTTATTTTCTTATGCAAGAGGAACTGAGTTGTGGACGTTGTTATTTGATTTCTTTTTAGTATTTGGTCTAATGATGATGGAAAAAAAGTGGTTGTGGCCTCTTTAGATATTGGTTACTTTTATTGCCTTGTTAACGATACAATATAAGAATGGAAGACGTTAATTTCTGCGTCTAGATGCCAAGTATGGGACTGGTTAACTAACTTAATTTGCATAAACTGTATATCTCTATGTATCGCACTCAACATAACAGAGGAAAAAATCCTGAAACCGAAAGAATAATCTTGTTTTATTGCAAATTTGTATAACATATGCAGTTAAGTATTCTAAAGCCCTAGGCGATTGATTAGGAGACTCCTGTTAATTGAAAACTCGTTTCATTGTAAAGTGATAGAATTCTCAAATTTATAAAGTGATAGGAGAATCCTGTGAGATTATTCCCTATCACTTCACCCATTTGCCTCGCAGTATCATTCGTATGCTTCTCTTTTTTTGGGCTTAGTCTCCAAAAAAGTCTTGTCATAAGTTTAGGCTTATTATCCAGAACACATTCTTTGATTTGGTTTGGATAGTCAGAAATTGGACATAAAATTTAAGTTATATCTACTTTTTTTCTTAGAGATAATTAATTAACATACCAACATCGACCATATGTAATTAAGTAGAGAGGTACATATTGGTATGATATTAAATAAGATGGTTTGGACAATGAAATAAAGTTTAGATAATAGAAAAACTGAACAATGATTCAAAGTTTAGATATCATAACCAAGAGTTCTTTGTCTTGTAAGAGATACGATCGCGAATTTTTCTATGCTTTACATACGAAATTCATATTTGCAACTTCCATAGCCTGTCGGAAACAAAAATAATTTGAGATCAAACAAAAGAACAAAACATAGATTATTGTATAGTGAAAAAGAAGAGATAGATAAAACTCACTAGGATCAGTTATGGCAACGAGACCAGAGTCTCCGAAATTGCAATTCCAAAAGTTTCTTCCTTCAGCTTGGTAATAAAGATTCATGACGACAGAAGCCATATTATAGATATTATCTGGAGAATAACATGCTCCTCTTGTCGATATAATCTGACAATCGACTATCGAACACGCGTAGTTTAAGTTATTTATAAGTTGTTCGGTCAGCGTGCCAGGCTTAGCCACACACCATTGCATTTGGCCCTGCAAGTAAGAGCACTCAAAAGGATATAAAACTATATATGATAATTATTTTTGTTTACTTTTCAAGTTTCGTTTTTGTTTAAGAGTAATCTTAAGCATGTACCTGTGCATTGACTCTCATAAAACTTCCTTCTGTAAGAGAAACATGGAAATTAATTAAACTGAAATTATGAAGAAAAAAAGTTGGTATATTGATTGTTATATCAAACCAGTGATTAGATTACCTGATATGATGTATAACAAGATGATGAAAGAAAGACATATATGTGTTTTATAATTAGCCATGTTTGAAGTCTGAAAACTCCTCCATGAATTCTAAAGTTTTATACTAATGGTTATAGATATTTTAAGGTAATACTTTTTGTTTGACTAGAAGTAATTAAGGCATTTCTCTTGCTTTATTCTTTAGTACTTGGTTTCTCATCAGACTGTTGCACTTGCCAATTTTACAAAGTTTTATTTATTATTAATATTTGAGAAATTACCTAGAATGACTCTGAAAAAGTTATTGGTTTACTCTAATAGCAACTCCAACAAAAAAAAAAAGTTGACTAGAATAGCTCTTAAAAGTTGAAAATGACCTTTAAGTATTTTGTTGATGCCATTGTGAATTAAAATGAGGAAGAATAATTGAAACTAAAAAAGGAAAATAAAGATAAACCATGAGTCTTAGTTCTTGTTGTCTCTTCTGGTTAGACTCTGTTTTTCTTCGTGGTGGTGTCCGCCTGGTTCTCGGTTAGCCTCTCTACCTTGCTGGTTTTGAGCAGAGGCAAACCCTTATCAAAGTTTCGTTATGAGTTCAAATGTTCTGTTGGTTCAATGAGTTTATCTTCTCGGATTTAGTTCGTGTGTATGCTCACTCTCGGTTCATGGTGTTGGGTGCGTTTGGTTTGTCCGGGATATTCCTTGATTCTTAGATTAAAGTGCTCATAAATTTGAGTTTATAGATAAAAATGATATCATATTCTCTAATGAGAGCTAAAATGTTTATTTAATTCAAATCATACGATATGTA